TACCTCCTTGTTTTTTCCTCCATGTATTTATATTCCTCCTCCTCCTTTTTCTTTCTTTCTTTCTTTCTTTTTTTTTAAATTTAATGTTACTGGAGGTAGGCAGTAACATTATTTTCTCATATCTCTTTTAATTAAAAGCAATCCTTTCTGCTCCTCCCTGTGATTAGACAAAGTGAGGACTCTGGAAGATCCCCTGTGTTTAGAAGCCTCAGCTCAGGCAAGAGCTGCTGGGTGGCAGTGTCCTCAGTGGCTGAAGTCATCACTGACTTAGGAGTAACATGGGGATCACAGGAAGATGTCACAACATTGAGGAAGACTGAGTATGGATTCCCCTGCAGTTCAGTAATGAGGAAGGAATTTGGACTGGAGACTGGTTCATCCAATGGAGGAAGCTGGTCCTGGGTTCAATGTGGGCTCCTCCTTCCCTTCCTCTAAGGGACACCATCCACGAAGAAAGAGAAGGTCAGAGACCAGCCAAGCTAGAGCCCAAATTGTTCCCATAGAGGCCAGGAAGGCAGGTTTTCTGCTGTGTGAGGTGGAATATGTGGGTGCCTGACAGTGCTCTGGATCCTGGGGTTGGAGAAGAGGGTACCAGCTTGGGGTAAAGTTCAGATCCTAGGGAAAGGTCTAGCTGGGTCCTGAGTACTCCTAACCCCTCCCATAAACAGTGTTGGTTTCTATTTCACAGAAGTAGGAGCAGAAGCTCAGAGAGGTCAGCCATTTGGATGTGGTTCCACTGTTGTCAATGGTAGAAACAAGATTTGTCCAAATGTAAGGGTCTGGCGGACCGTCGGAGGGAGAGACCACACAAGAGACCAGCTTCATGCAATTGCAGGGGGAAGTTTTATTGAACCAGCATGCTGGGGCTCAAGGCTCACTCAGGAAGGGAGAGCAGCCCAGAGCCCAGAGCAGAGGTCAAGCAGAGCTTAAGTACACTTTTTGGAGAGGGTGGGGGGCTTTGCATACATCAGAACAAATCATCTTGAGGCGCGGGGAAATTGAACAACAACCCTGAGCCATGATTAGTACATCTATTGGCGGGAACAGTCTGAGCAGAGGTGATTGGTCACCCCTGAGTGGGGTACACATTTAAACTGATTGGTTTTGTGGCCTGGATGCTTACGTCTGAGCTATTTGGAGCCCTTAGCTAATAAACAACCAGGGAATCAATGGAAATATTCACTGGGCAGTTCAGGTATTGTTCTAACAGCTACAGAGATTACAGGTTCTGGGGGTAGCAGAGGAATTTTAACAATACCTGGCCTATTATTATTATTTTTAGCCCAAGCCTTTCAATTTAGAAACCTTACAATCCCCAGTCTTTTACACTTTAACTCAGACTCTTGCAGCTTAGAGTCAGCTTAGAAATTTTACCTTTACACAAATAGTACTCTTTCTACTAGCTGGTCTTTCCCCAGCTGACATGCATGGAGGCAGAAGGGATTTCAGCATCACTTGGACACACATGGATCTTCTTGGGTCTTTGAGGCCTGACAACCTTGCAGTCTTGCCCAAAACACCTGTGTGCCCACCATCACCAGACCAAACCCAGAACACACAGTATCAGGTCCCCTCCTCTGCCTCCCCTGGGGTCTGTGTGAGGCTCACAGAGGCATGCTGGGGACCTCACAGCTCCTGTCCCACACACAGTATCTGTTCCCTTTATTTAATATTATGTGAGTGGCTTCAGTACTTTCTAGGAAAATTGCAAAATATAGCTGATAAGAAGCGATTTCCTGTTTTTTTTTTTTTCCAATCAATTTGAATTCACTTCTTTCAAAAGTACCTGAAGTTAGCCAACTGAATCATCTTCATTACAAAATCTCTTGACTTCAGTTTTAGGAGCACATGAGGGAAAGGAAAACCTTCCCACAGCACAGAGTACAGGCACCCAGGTCCCACCTGGGTATCCTGGGATCAGGCAGGGTGGAATTGAATCTGGGAGATCCTGGCCCATCTGAACAGGGCGTTTCTTGTATCTTCCTTACCAGACTGAATTTTGAGGAAAATATTCTGTAACAGACTGGAAAAAATAAAAGTGGTCCCACCCGTGGTTACAATTCTTGGCCACATTGAAGCTATTCGAGGTGGAGCTGGTAACACAGAAGCCTGTCTTAGATGGGAGAAGGTCCATGCTGCATTTGGTGGTATGATTAACATAAACTAACAATTCCTGTTCTTCCCTCCAAAGAGTGACAGGGAGGAAGCAGTCAGCATATAGAGAGTGGCTCTTGCTCTTTCCTTGGGTCCCTGTGAGTTGTGAGCCTTCGGATCCTCATAGCAGGGCCAGGCTCAGGTGGTCAGAAGGGTCCATTCAGGCCTGTTTCACAATGACATCTGTGTTCCCTGTCATGTGCCCAGGCACAAGAGGCTCTTTGTGGACTGAGATGCTGTCACTAAGGCAGTGGCATCTCTGCTGGAGACCCGCTGTGTGCAGCTGATATTTAGGGTTTGGTGGCTGTGAATTCTGCCACCTGTGGAGCTGAGAGCTCTGCATCCGTTTATAAAAACCACAGTGTGGAGGGGGAATACCCTTTGTCTTGATTCTCCACATTGATGTGGTGAACTATTTCCGAATTTGCAGGCTTTGCTCCAGTGGTGGTGATGGTAGAAACCAGCTTAGACATTTGCATTTGAATCTGGCCTTGCAGGTGTGCTTCACAGCTCAGGGGCAAGGGTCCTCATTGCTGGACCAGGTCTTGCTCAGAACCACAAGTTGACTCTGACCATGTGGGCAAGGAGCAGCTTTTCCTGCCAGGGTGATGCTAATTTTCCACAGTACTCTTTCTGGGTTGGAGGTTGGTAAGGGGCATTCTCCTTTATTCACTCATGATCTTCATTTGTTCAAAAATGGGGCATGTCAGATGCTGTGTCTTATATAAATCTAGGGTTTTGTGAACCACACTTTAGATTCTTTATCATCAGAGAGGCTGTCCAGAAGCTGCTGGGTATGAAGGACATGAACAGAGAGCTTAGTGGATGGGGGTTCCCCCAGAAGTATCCCCAGCACATCTGGCTGCCTTTTCTCTTCAGCCAAGGTGGCAGCATCTTTGTTTCTTGAGCATAGGAAAGCCAGTACCTGAACTGGCATCGAGACTTTGGAAACAAAATGAACCCAAACTGTTTCAGTGTATTGTTAAGAAATCTAATTATTAAGATGTATTCAAAGGACTTTCCAGAACTATCTAGCTGTTTTCTAAAGAAGAACAGTGGAAAATATAATTGAAGTAATGTACTAGGATGGGGTTTGACTTTATTTTATTTAGAGAAATAACCTTTTTTTTTTTTTTAAACTGCAGCTTCTTTTTTTTTTTGCCTATTTATTTATTTATTTATTTGCTTGTTGGTACTGATTAGTGGAGACATGAGGTAATTGCTTGCTGACATTTTTTGGGGGGTCCAGGGGATGACAATAAAGCACAACAAATACACCATGCTTCATGCCCAGTATTGTTCCATGTTAAATCTTATTGATGTATGTTTTTAAAAAATTCACAACAAAGTAAAATTGCTTGGCAATATTACAGTAGAGAAAAGTCTACAGTCTCCCATCCCACCCCAGCCCTCTGCCTGAGGCATTCTCTGGCTACCTGGCCTGGTCATTCTGTGGATTAACTCTGTGGCCCAAACTGCATTTAGGCCTCTTCTCCTGTTTCATTCACTGTAGCCAGGGCCTGGCCATCTAGAAACTGCCTTTGTCATGAGTCATTCCTGACCTTTTACTTTCCCCCAAAGAAAGCAGATCCTAGGAAGCACGTTTAGAATGGAAATGTAGAAGCAATATTTAGGTTAGCAAATCCTGATGATTAGGTTTGCTACTATGCATATTATGAAAGAGGGAAGTAAACTAATACACAATTACAACATTTTCAACTAACTACCCCTTAAGCCATGAAATTGAATTCTTTGTCCTTCCGCCCATCATTCAGCAGGTAGGTATTTGCCAGTCTGGGGTAAGTGCACTGAGGGATGGAGAGAGTTTGCCCAGCCTGAGGGCTGATATATCCTGGAGGGAGGCTAAATCTGCAAACCCAGGAGCAGGAGGTGGAGGTGGGTACGCTGAGCTGCACAGAATCCAGGGGAGGCCAGAGCCAGGAACTTGCTGAGCCAGCAGCTCCATCACACTTCCAGTCCCACGTTGTCTCAGGCCTTGCTCTGAGAACTTTAGAAGAGCTGGGATGGAGCAGAGGATGGAACACTTAGACTCATGTTCCCTAAGCTCTACATCAGTTCCTGGAGGCATCTACACTCCCTGATCCACAAGCATCCTGTGGAGTGCGGGCATGTTCCCAGGGAGTCCCTCTCTGGGTCTTGTGATTGTAAAGACTCCTTCATTGGGGGTTTGTTATATCTGCTAGAATTTCACATCTCATCCCTTTAGTAAAAACTGTCTTTCCAGAGCTGCTTATAAGTGTTCAAACTAGCTGAGTACCTTCCACAAAAATGCCTGCACCTGTGTTCATTTCTAGTCTGTGAACAGTGTTTCAAAACAAAAATGTTCAGGGTCACCACAGAAATAGGTGGGCTGTATTTTCACCAGTCCTTAAGACTATAAGATGGGAAGTACAGCTCTCAAACCTTGTTACAACTTGAAGGGAGCCTTGGTGCCCAGTGCCCAGTTCCTGACTGCAGGAGATTTTTAAGATCAGCACTTCCAGAATACTATTGTGGTCTCTGTTTGAGTTAGTCCCTCTCTTTGGAGCAGTGAAGACTGAAGTTCTGATTTTCCTGAGACCTGACTGCCAGCTGGGGCTTACAGCCCAGAGACTCTTCTCTCCCTGGGTGCCGTGTGGCTTGAGTAGTGGTGATGCCAGTTTTGATGATGATCACTTGATTTTAACCTTGGAATATCCGTAGTCCATTTCTATCCTCCTCCTGTATCATTGGGCTCTTTCCAAACCATGAAGGTTTGAGAATGGGGTGTGCTCTGAATAGGGGACTGCTAGGCTTGAGAGGGACAGCCCTGTCTTTGCTTGTGGTAACTCTGCCTTCTTCCACAGCCACTTCCCCCCGGGTGTCTTCTGAGCTGGAGCAGGCTCGACCACAGACAAGTGGAGAAGAAGAGCTGCAGCTGCAGCTGGCACTTGCCATGAGCAGAGAAGTGGCTGAGCAGGTTAGTACCCCGGGTGTGCCTTCACTGCAGTGACTTCTGGACAGGGGATGGGGCATGGACTCCTGGTGGTTCCCAGGGAGTCCATCTTCAAGACTTTCTGATGTGCTTGGTGAGTTGACTTCATATGGCTACAAGTGTGTTCCTGTTATCCACTGACCCCAGTGCAGAAAGAGGCCTGTGCAAAGTTACATTTAGGAAAGGTTTTCAGGAATGCCATTGCTAAAGGAGAAAATAAGAAAAAGTGCTTCCCAAACTCACATATGCAGACAGTCAGTGTCCAGGGTCCCTTGAGTGAACATAGCCTCCAGGGTCGTGCAGGTCAGGCGCGGAAATGCAGGCTATAGAGAAAGGAAGGCCTAGCCCCTGTGGAGGCAGTTAGGCAAATGGCAGGTGCCAGGCGGGGTGGGGGGAAGGCTAGAAGTAAGTTTTCCTGGAAATGAAAGTGCTCATATTTTCAATGACAGAAGTATGTATTATTAATTTATTTTTGTTGTTTGGTGGTATTGGGGATGGAACCCAAATCCTTCCATATGTTAGGCAAACGGTCTACCTCTGAGCCACACTTCCAGTGCCATGTAGTAGTTTTAGGATTTTTTCCCCCCTAGTACCCCTTTTTATTTAATAAGCATGCATTACTTTAAGATGGGGGAAAAGGGGAAGAAGCAGTTAAAGTAACATTAGAAGTTATCACTTTAGTTGCAGTTTTCAAAAATGTGTAGATAGAGCCAGGGTAGCTCAGGGATACCTCTCATTTAGAAGCTGGCTTTCAGAGAAAAATGTTGGGATGGTTGTCTGGCCTTTTTTGTGTGTCTGTAACTGAAATATCCTCAAGCTCATTCATGGCCTGTGTCCTCACAGTGGTCTATCCATGTAGAGGCAGTGGCTCTCTGGCCCACACCCTGGAAGAAAGGTGCTCAGAAGTGCTCACTGAGAAGCACAGGGATGGGCAGATAGTTGGATCCATTTTTAGTTACTATTTTAACAAGTAAAACATAGGGAATATGATAGAATTAATGATTATAATATATAAAAGCAAAGGCAAGCTGGATGTAGTGGTGTATGCCTATAATCCCAGCAACTCAGGAGGCTGAAGCAGGAGAATAGCAAGTGAGACCAGTCTCATTAACTTATAAAAAGTACTGGAAATGTAGGTTAGTGGCAAAATATCCCTGGGTTCAATCTCCAGTACTGAAAACAAACAAATAAAGCTAGGGCAACCCTATCTTATGCATGTAGTGACTTTTCCTTAAATAAATATAGTGAATCATTTCTGTTAAAATTAGTCACAGAATTATGCACTTATTTTCTGGGAGCATCTGCAGTGGAAAATGGAATGATGTATGATTTTCATTCTCTTTCTGACTCATTCCTGGGTAGTCAGATGTATGGTTTATAAGAAGACCTACTGCTTCTATAAGTATTAAGAATTATAAAGCCGTTTTCATTTTGAGAAAAAATATTTTAGATTAAGCCTTCTTTTTCCCCAGTTTGATGGGACCTCAAGGAGGTTGAAGTCACACTGGTACAGTAATGGAAGAGCCTGCTGAGTATGAACACTTGGGATTGGAAAGCAATTATGTTTCACCAGTTGATTTTACATAGTCCTTTGAAATGACACAGACTACAGTATGCATTTCCTGTTGCTGGCCAGGGTGGCTTTGTTCTCTCTTGTGATGTTATTATCATTACCATCAACTTCAAGGTCTCATTGTCCCTCTACAGGAAGAACGCCTCAGACGGGGTGATGACCTCAGATTACAGATGGCCCTAGAAGAAAGCCGAAGAGACACAGTCAAAGTTCCAAAAAAAAAAGAGGTAAGAGCTTGCTGGGAGATAAATATTTGAGATGTGCAAGTTGTTGCCCTAAATATCCCTGAACCCTGCAGGTGAGTGGGACGCACAGTGGGTTCTCCAGACTCCACAAATAACCTGCATGTCTGTGGCAGGCAAGAGCAAAGTAAGGAGATACTGAAAATACCCAAATTAAGAGAAGGCATTTAGTGTCCCAGTGCCCGAGTACCCTCATCTATAAAATGAGGATGACAATGGTGCCTGCCTCCTGAAGTTAAGGTAGCTGTTAAATTAATTCAATGGCAGTACTTTGGGGCACTCCTGGGCCAGGATAAGCCCTGGAGTAGTGCTGGTCTCCATCATTGCCACTATGATGGTCTGTGCCAGGCTTCCACACTTTGACATAGAGATGAGCAGGACATGGCTTTGCTTTTGACAAGCTCATCATCATTGTTGTCCAGTAAGGGTACAGACCCCTCCACTGCCACCACAAGGACGGGGGCTCTAGTGCCTTCCCTGTCATAACAGGGATGGGGATGATGGATGTGGTACTCATGGGAGTGGGTGGAGCATCCCCTCCCCCCAGGAGAGAAGGTCATTGGGCCAGAGTGGTGGCTGGCATCTGAGACGCTAGTTGAGCAGAGAGGGATGTTATTCTTAGGGTAGGTCAAAGCCCTGGAAAAAACCATCTTGAGGGGAAGTTTTCAGAGCCCCTAGGACCCTGAAAGCCTGTGAGGAATTTGGCAAACAGGAAATAGTTTGGTGTGTCTGGAACAGAGCTGTCCCAGGAAGTAGTAATACTGAAGAGCTGGTGAGGATGGGGCAGGAGAGGAAGTGGCTTAATTTCCCAATCCTGCTGGGCCCCTCTTGAAGGGGCTTTACTGTATATAATAAGAGGGACTGGTGAGATTTATGGCTAATGCATGGGTACTTGATGTGACTGTAACAAAGTAAAACTGTCCCCTTCTTTTTGTTTCAAAAGCACGGCTCCCACCCACCGCAGACCACACTGTTGGATTTAATGGATGCTCTCCCCAGTTCAGGCCCTGTTGCCCAGAAAGCGGAGCCCTGGGGCCCAGCAGCCTCTGCTAACCAGACCAACCCCTGGGGTGGTTCGGCGGCTCCCTCGAGCACTTCGGACCCCTGGCCATCATTTGGTAAAGACTCCATCCTTGGTCTCCTGTGTTTGCCTGCTGGATGGGTGAGGGGAACAGGGCAGGGCTTTGTGCTGTCTTTCACCTGTCCCAGTCTATTGTGGTGGGGGTACAGGCTGTACAGTTCCTAGCAGTGATGCCCAGGAAGCCCTTGCCCTCTTCCCTGGAGATCAAGGCCCTGCACTCTTTCTTGGTGTTTTGAATGGTTTTCTGCTTGGGTAAAAGAAATGCTGGCTTCTTCCCTGCCTCACACACACTAGAAGTGACTTGTCCCTACTGTGGGACACACATCAGCTCTCTCTGCTTCAGAATCACACCCAGCACCCAGCTTAAGAAGCAGCAATACAGAGCATGAACCATCTAGATCAAGTTGCTGTAAGTAAAACTGCTGTTAATGAAGAGGGGATACATTTGCTATAGCTCTTACTTGTTATTTAAGGGAATAGTGAATCAATATAATAGAGTAAGTGAATTACTAAGTTTTGCTTAATGTTAAGTATAAGAGAATATCTGGCAGGAGATTTTAAACAGGAACATGACAGAATTAGTTTGCTCTCGGTGATGATTCTGGCACATGAATTTTTAAATTGCTGAGCAGGGGCTTGGCCTTGCAGGCTTCAAGGGGATTTCCTGGCCTGGTGTTCTGGGAACTTCCTGGTGCTCTGAACTGTGCTGGCCACAGCCGATCTGGGGGCTTTCTTTCTAGGAACCCTGAACTGCATATTTTGTGGCATCTTGCCTGTATCCCTTGAGAGTCCTTGTTTTCCCAAACTAGAACCATCTTTTGTATTCAGCTCAGTTCCCTGGATGTTTGCTAAAGTGTGCCAAGTGCCAGGTTCTGTCCTGCCATGTGACGACCCTGAGACGAACAGGTAATGAATGGTCCCTTCTTTCAGGTTCCAGTCAGGTGCGGGTAGAATGGAAACACAGAAGAGCTGTTCTGTGGAGTCAGGCTTCCACAGAGGTTTTTTGAGGGCATTCAGGGGTGGGAGGCATCCTAGAAGGCCTGAGGGTGTGCAGAGGCAAGGATCTTGGAGGAGGGCTGCTTCCAAGAGTCTCCAGTAAAGAACAGGTGACAGGTGGTAAGAGACAGCTGTTTTCTGTTCATCAGAAGGCCCGAGGCGAGGTATGCTAGAGTCTTACAGGTGCAGGAACCTATGCTGTGTGAAGTGGGCAGCAGGGGAGGTTTGAGGGGAGAGTGGGGCATCTAGGTCACTCAGACCTCAGCCTTGCTGAGTGCTTGAATTTGGTCCAGAAGGTGGTGTCAGCCCTTCGGCATTGCTGTTGGCCCTGGTGACCACACAGAACCCCACACCCGCTTTGGTAGGCAGAATTATCCAGAGTTCTCACTCACTGAACCAATTCCAGGGCTGCTTAGAAGTTGGTTTTCATAGTCCGTGGCCTGTGTGCTTGTGCACTAGGGAGCCTGTGGTGGTCGTGGTCTTGCTGAGCACACATGACAGTGTGAGGCAGGTCAGCTGGAGCTATACACAGTGTGTCCCAGGGACAGTAGGCCCTTCCAGAGAGTTTCTTTGACTTTCTTTATAAATTTGAAAAATGATTCTTCTCTCAAACAATGGCCACTTTGTCATGGATGGGATGTTTTGGGGAAAGACTGTGCAATATCCTTCAGGGTTGTGTGATGGCTCATTGAGGAGGAGCTTATCAGTGCCTGGAAGAAAGTATGGCGACCAAGAGCCAGGGAGGTTGAGGAAGGTTGCACTCCATGGTGGTGGAGTAGGAGGGAGACTTGGCTTTCACACTTTACTTGTGCATTCTGTTGATTTGTTTACCAGGGATGAGTTCTACTGGTCGGGGGAGACAGAACAACAGTAATTTTTAAAGGACCAATTTATGTCATGTCCTTTTGTTGACTGGTGAAGAGGTCTGGGTCCTAGACTGGATCCTTGAGGTCCAACTGTGGAGTCTCCCTGGTGGGTGTGGACAGTACCACCCCCAGGGTGGGAAGCTAGAAGAATGTCAGGCTGCCATATGCTGGAGGAGGAGGGGCCACTGAGGAGAAGCACTGAGTATCCTGTGGGAATGTACCTGGGGCTTGCTTTTCAGTTTCTAAAAAATAGAGATAAAATTCACCATTTAAATCATTTTAAAGTAGATAACCCAGTAGCTTTTAATACACTCACAATGTTGTACACTTACCACTACTCTCTAATTCTAGAATGTTTATATCACCAGAAAGAAACCTCATATCCAGCCTCTGGCAGCCAGCAAACTAGTTTTTGTCTTTAAGGATTTGCCTCTTCTGGACATTTCATATGAATAGAATCATACAACATGTGCTCTTTTGTGACTTGCTTCTTTTATTTAGCATGCTTTTGAGGTTCATCCATGTTGTAGCAGATGGTAATTCTTTATTCCTTTTTGTGGTTGAATAATATTCCATGGGATGACTGTGCCACTTTTTGTTTAACCATTCAGGAACTGATGGATATTTGGGCCGCTTCTGCTTTCTGGTAATTGTGAATCCAGATTTGAAAGAGAAGATTGAAATCCAAAATTTTGGAATCTATTAATGTTTCAATGTTGTCAGTGATTTTAAAAAATCAGCTGGTTGGTTAATCAAAATCTCTCTGAGTATGGACTCATGAGGCTTTTGTCTGCTTGTTTGCCATTTCTTGCTACTTGCCCACTCAGGGCCTTCTTGGTTCTGATATACTTGGCATTCTAACCAGTGACTGGAAAAGGAAACAGACCATCAAAGCCCAGAAAGGCTATTCATTTCTCCAGGGTCCCACAGCAAATTAGATGTAGGCTAAATGCTTATGGTATCATATCCTGGCCCTATCACCTCATCCTGGATTGCCACAAAGTCCTTCTGTGGCCCTGGCATGTCCTGGAAAAGTCACCCCCAATTCCAGCATCAAGAGAGAGCCATTGTTAGAATGTGAGCTTATTTGCTTCCTGTTTTTTTTTCTGGTATTATGTTTTTACACAGCTGAGGCCATGTTGTCAGTATGATTTTGCATGTGAGCGTGTATATATTTATGCACACAAGTATTTTTCTACAGCTTGTGCTGTGTGTCGTGAGCATTTCCAGGCCTTTAGAAAAACCCAAATAATGTGGCACTAATAAGGCATTTCATAGCTGTGCCATCATTCTCTCAGTGTTGTGCAGAGCCGGTTTTACAGTCCCAACTCTCTGCTTTCAACAGGAAAAGATGCTATAACACAGCATTCTTGGAGGACTTCTCAGAGGCAGTGCTACCAGAGCAGAACAGCCTCAGCCAGCTCCAGGTTCTGGGCTGCATGTTCTCAGGCACTTTGCTCCTTATGCCATCTCTCCAGCTCCAGAGCAGAAGTGTGGTTGGATTTACCATTCACCTTCTGGTAAAATCCAATCGTGTGCCTTTTCATGGCCACCCCTCAGTCCTGAGATGCATTCATAAATTAGAAAGATTAGATTCTTGTTCCCATAGCATTCTGAGCCGCACCCTCAGCATGAAAGAAACACTTTTAAAAGCACCACTTGTCCATCTTTTTTTTGTTTTTCCTTTCCTTTGCTGTACTAGGGATCAAAACCAGAGCCTCATGTATGCCAGGCAGGCACTGTACCACTGAGCTAGCTCCCTGGCCCCTTCAAAGCCACCATTTGTAGTTGGCCCTGTCATTACCAGTTTTTTTTCAAAAGCAGTACAGGGGGCTGCTGGGCCAAGTGGCCTTGGGAGGAAATGCTAAGGGCCAAGAGGAGGGAAATTAGAGCCTGCCAGGTCAGCAGGGCACTTCCTCCTTTCTTCTAGACACACAAAGCAGCCACCTGGTCTGAAGAGGCCTCACAGCCTGGTGATTCAGAAGGCTTGGCCAGCCCAGGCCTTCTCTCTGCCCACCCCACTGCCACCATCCTGACTAGGACAGAGCCCTGTCTTCCGCCCCAGCAGCAGCAGGTGGTGCTGCTGGCTTCTTGGTGACCTCTGCATGGCTATAACTGCCTCCCTGTGCACATGAATATTCATCTGCGAGATGCACCGGGCTGGTGGGATGTTGCTCCTGTGAATGGACCCCACAGAGGAGGCCGGAAACAGCTTGATCTTTCAGACCTGTGTTCCATCCTCCTTTCATTCACTGGAGCTTTCAACAAGCATTTATTTATTGGGTGTGTGGCATTGCCTGAACCCCATGGAGGCTGTGAGGCTGAGAGCACAGAGGAGCCTTGCAATGGCTCTACTGTCCATTCATGGAGGAGGAGCCTCCCCAAGCCAGCAGTGTTCCCTGGGGACCAGCTGAACCCTGGCCTCCATGCTGGCTGCTTTCCCTTGGAAGGGGGAGGGTGTGTTATCTGTCCCCTTGCCACCTTTGAAGAAAGTCTGTCTGGCCACAGAACCATTTACCTATGTCAACTGTACTTTGTTCATTTTGTATAAATTCAACCCAGAAACTCTCATAGAATTCAGTACTTCTGTGTCTCTTGTGTCATTTGCAGAATGGAAGCCTGATAGAGCTCATCCAGGCTAAGCAGCTTATCCATGGTGATCTGGTGATTTGGGGGTGGCCAGGATCTGAACTGAGCACATATATCATTCTGTGTCTGAAACCCTCTGACTTATGACAGACTTTGTTCCTGCAAGCAGTGGAGTAGGAGTTCCTTCTGAGACTGAGCTTGTTGAATTCAACAGTATGCATTGCACAGGTTACTGATCCTTAAAATTTGGCCATTTCAGCAGTAGGTTCTAAAGCAGACAGAGCCATGAGAACTAACTGCAAGTGTCAGAGGAGGCTCTAGAAAAATTACAACGTGGACTACTGCATGGCACAGTGGGCCCTCCACGTGGAAGCCTTGTCTCTGAGTTCAGGTGGGCAGGGGCTCCACATCCTGCTGACTCATGGAGAGAACACAACGTCCTTTTGGTGCAGCTATGCATCATAGCATTCAGGGTGGAAAGAGTTTTTCTAGAAATGTTAAAACACTTTGTTTTAACTCTTAAAGATACAAGCCTATCAGTTTGGGGGAAACTACGTTCAGATCATCATTGTGCAAGAGTATGTCC